GCTTTTTTTTTTGCAGTTGTTCCTCTCTCTTGCTGCCCTTATTCAGTGCATAACTCTGATGCCTGTAGATTTTTTCTTCTAAAATATTTCTTCAATTATGTCCCATTATCGTCATCCCTATTGCCACAACAAGCCAAAGTCATGTTTTGTCTGTTTCATGGCAAGAGCTTCCCAAATGGATTTCCTCTACCTTTTGTCCCACCAATCCATTCTTCACCTAACAGCAAGAGTGAGCTTTTAGAATATTAATTGAATCATATCACTTCCTGTTTAAGATCCTTCAATGTCTCTTCAATGCATGAAAACTAAGAGAAGAAAGTGTATCAGGTAGGTATCACACTACTGTGTGAAATGGATTATGAGTGTTTTTCATCTGTGAAATGGGAATGATGGTCATACCTACATCAAAGAATTGTGAGAATTTGATAAGGGTTACTTTGATTTTACATTAGCTTTTGCAGGAAAGGAAGCAAAACCCAATAAAAATATATATTGTTAACAGCTACTTTACAGTCCTGAGCTAGTACTACCTACAGAGAGCCTTCTAAATGTTTCAGTGACAACGTTTTCATTTGTATTATTGTGGCCTTAAACATCTGCCTTGATGAAAGGATAAAAACCTATTTTAAAAACTTATACAATAAACCAAATTTAATTGAAAATATAGGGCATACTAAAGACTGACTTTAAATGTCTTCAGAACGTCTTAAAATGGGAAACAGATAATGAGGTAGGTGTGATGTTAAACCATACAAATTGAACTACTTTGTGCAAATCTCTCTTATTTTTATGGATTTGCATTCACCCTTGCTTGAGCTGTGCAGGGCAGTCTTAATTTCCAAAATAGCATCATGAATTCAGCAGCCCATAGTTACAGCAGTCCCCATGACCCCTTTTTCTTTCAATTAACACATTCCCATTTAGAAAACACCAAGGTGAGAATGAATCCATGAAATCTGAAAAGCCAGGGGTGAAAGTGAGAAGCTGCCACATTGGGTAGCAGTGAGCTCTATCTCTAGAACGAGAATTAAGTCAGCTCCCTGTCTGTGCTTCCTTTTTTTTTTTTTTCTCACTAGATCCATAAAAATCACTCTGCGATCAGCTCTTTGGTTGACTTCCAGTTTAATTGTGACCTGAAAATGTTGGCTTCTTATGAGCTAAATTGGTTGATGGGCCATTGCAAAAAAAAAATTAAGAAATGGAGATTAAACTCCCCATAGAATATAACCCTCATTTTTTTATCTCCAAGAATAACGGTATTTCAGTGTTCATTACATTTCCATGTAATGAATTCTAGCACTCGGGCATGCTTGTAGTGAGTATACAATAAGCAGGCTTCCTTTTTGATCGAGAACAATTTTCTTTTTTTTTTAAGTGAAGAGTTGAGGGGAAAAAAGGCCTTACAACTTGGTTTCTCAGTGGTAATTCTGTTAGACAGCTATTTATTGAGAACCCACCACAAATGAGGCACTCGCTAATTTGGCATGGACCCATACATGTATAAATGATAAAAACTGGTTGTTGTTAGTTGCTATTGAGCGGGCTTTGACTTATGGGGACCTTATATATATAACAGAAGGAAACTTTGCCTGGTCCTACACCATCTTCATGATCATCGATATCATTTTATAGACCATTAGACTTTAGCCCTAGAGGAGAAAAGCAACTATACAAAGTAATACGTGTAGTTAGTAATAACTTAGACTAGAATGCAGTCTCCTAAAGTAAGATAGGTTCCTAGTTCTCATAAATATGATTTTAAGTATTATATTTTGTTTTCATTGTAAAAGTGACAGAGAACTGAGTAAAAAGAGTGAATTGAATATATATACATCTTGAATACATACATATATTCAATATATCAATATTCAATATCTATATATCTCATAGCAACCCTATAGGACAGGGTAGAACTGCCCCATAGGGTTTCTTAGGAGTGCCTGGTGGATTCGAACCGCCAGCCTTTTGGTTAACAGCAGTAACTCTTAACCACTGTGTCACCAGGGTTTCTATGAGTCAGAATCGACTTGATGGCAACAGGTTTGGTTTTGGTTTGGTATACCATATATATCTTATCTATATCTTACATATATACCTGTATATATGTATATATATATATCTTAGAGGAGCCCTGGTGTTGCAGTGGTTAAAGCACTCAGCTGCTAACCAAAATTTAGCAGTTCAAACCTACCAGCTGCTACGTGGGAGAAAGTTGTGGCAGTCTGCTTTTGTAAAGATTTACAGCCTTGGAAACCTTATGGGGCAGTTCTACTCTGTCTTATAGGGTCACTATGAGTTAGAATAGACTCAACGGCTGTGGGTGGGTTTATATGTACCTTATATATATATATATATATATATATATATCTTTAGCCAGCCTAGATAGAATGTATTTTATTGTGAAGTGTGAGGCAGGGATCCAATTTCATTTTTTTATAAATGGCTAGCTTTATTGAATGTTTGTTGAATGCCACTGTTTTCAAATATCACCATATTTTTACGCAAATAACACACATTTCTACATTTGTTTGCCAACCGCACCCTCCTCCCATGAGGTATTTTCCTTAGCACTCTATGCTAATTTTTTTACAGCAGCATGTTAGAAAAAATTGACATAGTGGCACTTATGAAAATACTTCATTGGGGGAGGGTGTGGTTGGCAAACAAAGGTAGAAGGCGCCCATTAGTTGCATAAAAATACGGTAAATACTTATGTATTCCTGGAGTTTTATACCATAAAAATTAAACTATTTTGTGCAAATCTCTCTTATTTTTATTGATTTGGATTCACCCTTGCCTGAGCTGTACAGGGCACAGCTGACTCCAAAGTTTTATTCTAGCCAGTGGTCTGTGTACATTACTATGAACTTTATGCACTTATGAATCTAGGAAATGTATTACAGCTCAGTCTTTAGGTTGGGTATTTCCCTGTGAAATATACCATTTCTCTAAAACTGATTCTTAAGGTCGTAACTTTGTTAGTTCTCTTAATTTGTCTTCTTTAAAAAATCTTAAGCATCCACTGCTCTTCGTGAAACTCATATATTTTCCTTAACTGTGCCTCAACATGAAAAAAAAATTACATAAGTGATTATCAGAGCAACGACATTATAACCACCATCATTCTTTAGTACTTAGACATTTTGCTGGTCTTTTAACTGTATGTTTCCTCTGCAGAATATTAACATGTACAAGACCTTTCGATTTTAAAGCTGTTTTTATGCAGCTCACCTCTCCACCTCTGTCTATATTCCCTACCTTGACTGTACATCCCAGTCATATTGAAATTCACTCTGTTGTCCACCTGCCCAAAGCTCCCTAACATCTCTAGGCATCTGTACACCTTATTGCTATGCTTAAAATATTCTTTTTTCCTATTCATCTGCATAAAATACAAATTATCTTTTAGGACTCAGTTTAGATATCCCTCTCTATGGGAAGTCATCTCTGACTCAGTAACTGTTTACATAGCCCATGTACTTACTCCCATCACACACAGTACATCTTCCATCATAGTGCTCATCCCATTGTGTTGTAATTGCCTAGTTAATGGTTCACCTGCCCCGCTAGATAGTAAGCTACTTGAGGACAGAAATTCTTTCTTGCTGTCACCTGTATATCTACCATCTAGCACAATACTGAGCACATAGTAGGGACTCAATAAACATGCCTTGAATGAATGAGTCATATATGCTTATTGCGGAATATGTGGAAATAAAATTGAAATTTTTCAACCAAAAAAAAAAGGGGAAAATGACTATAAATAGCACCAATTAAAGAAAATTCTCAGTAGTATTTTGGTGTCTCAGTGTTAGTTTACTTTCTCTGTAGACCTCACTGCATATAAAACTTTGAATACTTACGTTTTTACTTAACAGTGAGCATTTTTTCATGTAACTTCAAATTCTTTGGAAATGCCACTTTAATATCTGTAACAAGAAGACTGTCCTGTAAAAGCAACATAATTTATTGAGCCATTCCTCTGTTGTTGGTCTTTAACTTACTTGTAATGTTTTGGCTACTATAAATAATGCCTAAATGAATATTTTGCATCTCTGATTACTTCTCTATAATACATTCTAGAAGTGAAATTACCAGGTGAAAATTTCACAGTTCTGCATGCAATGTATCAAAGTATTTCTTGTAAGAAGAAATCAGTGTATTCTCAACTGTAATATTACCTTTTTTAGAGAGTGAAGATTTCAGAGACAAAAATGAGTATCTTATTTTTATTATATTTTTATTGTCATTTACATTACATTCTCCTGTTCATTGTATAATGATAATCTTTGCCCATTTTTCTGTTAGACTGCTAGTTTTTCCTTACTGATTCTAAAGCTCTTTATATGTTAGGAATACAATTATTTGATTGTGAAATTTTTGTAAATATCCCATCTGTCGTATGCGTTTTTATTTTATTTTCCATTGTTTTTAATGTCTTTTGAATTTGATGCATGTTTACCAATCATTCCTTCTATGAACTAGTCAATTGCTTTTCTACATGGAATATCTTTCCCTACTTAAGTATATTATATATTTCTCTACTTAGGTATAAACTTGGTGTTTGTTGTGGTTAGTTGCTGTCAAGTTGATTCCAACTCATGGTGACCCCATGTGTGCAGAGTGGAACTGCTCCATAGGGTTTTCAAGGCTGCGACCTGTCTCCTGAGGCACCACTGGGTGGGTTCAAACCACCAACCTTTCAGCTAGTAGTCAAGCACTTAACCATTTGCGCCATGCAGGGACCCGTTAGGAAATGTATTTTCTTCTAGCTTGGTTACAGTTTCCTTTTTTACATTTAACTCCTTGACCCATTTAGAATTTATTTTGGGGCATAGTGTGAGGTGAGGCTCTAAGCTAGAATTTTTACAAAATAGCTTGTTTTTCTAATACCTTCTCTTGGCCTTTAAAGAAATCTTATTAGAGGCAATTGTATTAAAATAACCAGCATCCAAAGACACAGCTCAGTGTTGACCATGAACTTTGCTTCCTCCTCTCAGGTGAACAGGAGCCGGCTGTAAGCAGTGATTCTGACATCTCACTGATTATGGCAATGGAGGTTGGACTGTCTGATGTAGAACTTTCCACTGACCAAGACTGCGAAGAGGTGAAATCTTGAAACAGTGACTGTAGACAAAAGGGATGGTAGGACCCAAGGGGAAGAAGGGGAGGAGTGCTCCAAGACCCGGACCAGGCACACACACCTCCCGAACACCTTGGCAACTCCAGGGTGCTCTGTTCAAGGATGGTAACGAAAAGCAATATCCAAAGTCACATTTATCAGGATGCAGTTTCTCCATCTCTCCAACAGTCCATGGCCTTGGCAGTGTGGAAGTTGAAAGCTGATTTTTCCCTCTAATGTCCTTGTAGACACATACTTCAGAAGCTCCTAAAACAGTGACTGAAGGGACACCTTTAGGGTTTCTTAGTTTTATTTCACTTTTTTCCAGGTCTTACTGTCGTTGTTTTTGGAATGTTGTTTGATTTCTTTCATGGTTTCTTTTTAAAGACTGTTTGTAGTTACTTTACATCCACTCCTTTGTTGTTGTTTATTTTTTGTTGTTGTTTTATCCACTCCAGCTTTTGTATAGAGTTCTGCTTAGAAGAGTCGATTCTGACTCTTGATGACCTCACGTATGTTGGAGTAAAACTGCTCCATAGGGTTTTCGGTGGCTGATTTTTCGAAAGTTGATCACCAGGCCTTCCTTCTGAGGTGCCTCTGGGTTCACACGAACCTCCAACTTTCCAGTTAGCAGCTGAGTGTGTTAGCAGTTTGCATCACCCAGACAACGCTTTAAAACTAGGCACCACGCGTTCTTCCCATCAAAAGCAAAAGGTCTGTTGTATTGGTTCCCCCAGGCTAGAGCACGTCTGATGTCACCTACATAAGTGGATTTTGCAGGAGATGGAGTATTTAAAAAAGATCCAGTCATCTTTGCAGCCCAGTGGTGGCTTCAGTAGCCACCTAGATTTTACCTTAATTCTAACACATGTCTGTTAAACTTTGCCGGACCACATGGAAAGATTTAGGTGAATCCCTAGCAGAGTTCTTTCCATGCCTCCCTGCGTGTGCCTAGATATCACTTGAGGAATGAGGTGCGATTTTATAAATCATTTGATCCAAAAAGTCCATCACAGGAATTAGCTAAATCGAGTTTATCCTGAGAGAGACAAAGTAAGAGGGAAAAGAAAAGATGCATCAAATGAACGGGAATACCTACCGATGTTTTTAAACTGTTTCTGTTTGTATTCTTTTTTTCTATCTATGACAGAGATGTGCTATTTTTTCAGTGAGCAATTTTGTAATACATTCAGACTATCCTCGTGCAGAGATGGTTTTCTGTTGCCTTGCCAAGGTGGTGGAGAGTGTCTCTGGACAGTCGGACGGATCGCCTCATCATCTGCCAGCAGTTGGCAAAGGCCAGGCCTCTGCTTGCATTTGCAAGGAAAGCAAGCTCTTCTCACCGAGTCCTATTTCCGTGTTTGATGAGGGCTTTTCAGCTCGTTACACTAATACTCATTCAAAAACAGAGTAGACTCTGCTGTAAAACCTACTGCCTGCTGAAATGTGGAGTACAGGTCAAGGGGGACCACTGCTTGCTCTTTTTCACCACCTTTGAAGACTTCCTATTTGATGGCTTATGAGCAGGCAGCAAAGCAAGGAAAATGATTACCGCTTTCTGCTGGGCTTCTCCAGGAGCCCAGCACTTCCTGTAGTGAAGTCCAGTGTCTCCGTGTGGGAAGGCAGGTAGGGAGGAAGGAAGCGAGCTCTGAACCAAGAGCCAGAGGAGGCCTCAATGGACGGCACACTGGCTAGGCCTCAGTTTCTTCATTTAAAGAGCAGGAGCTTAACATGATGACTCCCAAGGCTTCCTCTAGCCTTGGTACCTCTGATAAGCATGTTGTCGGGAAATCCTTTTTTCACAGATAGCGATGACGTTAGCAGAATGCATAGCTTGGAGAGGCAGAGTTACTTGACATGTAACATACAATATCAGCCTTTGAGATTTGGCACTCCTGTGATGTTGAGAATGAATATCTAAATGATTGAAGTGCAAGTCAAAGTAGGAGTTGTTTTGTCTGACTTTGTTTTAAAACCGCCATTAATCACAGAGCTTGAAATCTCTGGATGAGAAATACCTTCAAATCCTGGTTATCGGCATGGAGAGCATCTGTGGGAGTTTCTTTACCTCGAAGGTGTTTCTTTTTCTTGGTCATCATAGGACTGCACCACCTACCCCTCTTTGGTCAGCTTTACCCAAAATAAACATTGGCATTATCTTAAATCCAGTGAAATTAGAAGGCAAATTCAACAGCAAAAGAAATAAAAATTGTATTCCATACCCTGAAAGAAAATGCTTTTGGGGTTGTATAGTTCTCCGTTTGATGAATGTCACCTCTTCCTGTCAGTGGCCAGGGAAATCAGGAATGGATCACACATGTGGGCCCTGACCACAGCAGCCCCCAGAGGATGCTGCAGAGTCAATGAGGAACCCAGGAGGCCAGTGAGAAGCCTATGGATTAGGCACAAAGAAGGTTCTGCTGCAAACCCCCTAAACCTAGGAGATTATACACTTACCAAAGATTTGTTTCTAGAGGACTTCCGTGTAGCTTTGGTAGTTACAAAGAAGTTTAACCAGCATCAAAGGGTTCAAAAGAAAGGGAAAGAGCCCCACCCCATAGCCTTCTTCACCACCTCCCTCCAAAAAAGAGACTATTCCCTGGGGACTCAGAGGTTCACAGATGAGTGTCAGAGAGCCTGTTAACCCTCTAGAAGTATAGAAAAACCATATGCATATTTGCAGATGTGCATTTTTCTGTAGTAAGGGTCTAGACCAGCACCATCCAGTAGAAATGTAGTGCAAGTCACATAAGTAATTTAAAATTTTCTACTAGCTGCATTCAAAAAAGTAAAAGAAACAGGTGAGAATAATTTTAATAATATATTTTATTTAATCTAATATAGTTTCAACATGTAATTAATATAAAAAAATTAATGAAATATTTTACATACTTTTTTTTATTATGAATTCTGTATTTACACTTACAGCACTTCTTAATTCGGACTAGCCAGATTTCAGCGCTCAACAGCTTTATGGGGCTACTGGCTACCAATTGAACAGTGTAGGTCTACAATTTCTCCAGATTCCCTGACCCCTACAGAACAAAAAAGTTACAACCTTAATTACCTCCAGAGAGAACTAGATACCACCCAAGTCACCTAATGAAAGGCCATGAGATCTGTTTATTTTGTAATGAATAAAGATTCAGGCAGCCCTTCCTGAAATTTCTCCTTAAACTTTCTAACCACACTACTGATGTCCATTACCATTTATTGTTACTGCGCTGGCCAGTTGCTTTTCAAAAAGTCACACAAACCCTATTGTTTTGATGTTGAAACAAAATTATATCCTTCACTTCAATGACAACCTATGTGTGGCACTTAGAATTCCAGATTGTAGCCACCCAACTTTACCTCAACCCCAAGTTCTTCTTCTCAGTTGGTATAAGGTCTCTTACCAGTCCCAATGCCCCCTACCTCCACAACTGTAGCTGAAACTCATGGATTTGGGAAGAAAGAGTAAGAAGTTACATACTGACCCGAAATATAAGATTCTGTGTGGCATTACTGAGAGTCTTTGGGACTTGTGACTGTCCAATCTCTCCTTGGTGAGCTGTAACCTCCTCCAGCCTCCAGCCCTCTACTCAGAAGTCAGCATACCCCTTGCCCCATGGCTCTGAGGAAGAAAAGGAGCATTTTCACTCACCAAGAATAATTTAAGGTCACCTGTAGGAATTGCCACCTCCGGTGTGGCTGGTCCCTTTGGGAAGCACTGAGCCCTGATCGTGAATAGAGCATCTGAATACTGATTTGTTCTCTAGGGTTTGAGCACCACTAAACTATCAACTCTGATTGGTCATCTAGGCAGGCAGAGGTAGAGAGTTGGGAAAAGGTAGAAAGTTAAAAGCAGGAAAGACATCTACCTATTTTCTCATCATATGGTAATGATCACAGCCATGGAGCCAAATCTCTGTCCAAAGAGTTTATTTCTTTTAGCATTTCCCACATTCTGGTGGAACTATCCCTGGACATGCTGGGCTTGGTCATATCAGTAACCAGAGTGCCCAGTGGCCATTTCAGTTACTGCCCTAACATCCCTGTAGCCGCATGCTTTCCAAACTAAAAATGATGACAGATAGCATAACATGAGATTCTTTCTTATATTTAAATTTTGCTTATATGGAAATGAATTTATTTTTCAGGCAATTTCAACCTTCTTTGCTGTGCCATTCATAAGTGTTTAAATGGCATTTAATTACACATTGAATGCATTGCCTTTATTGAAAGCAGCAGAATCTCATTAAGTCAAAACTCTTTCAGAAAATTTGGGATAAAGAGTCACCTCTCTGTGGCGGAGTGTCAACCGTCTGTGGGGCTGAGGCCATGGAGACAGTCTCTGGTAGTATTTTTAATATTCTGTCACATAGATTTCTTTCCCTTTTCTGCCTGTGTTTCTGTTTCTCTCTAGTCCTGTCTTTCTTTAACTGCCTGCCTCTTTTCTCATAGTCCCTCTCCTTTCTGTTTTTCCTTATTTCTTTATTTTCTCTTCTTGCAAGAAACTCTCAAGTAGCATTCACGACCAAAAAAATCTGGTGGCTCTAGATCTGTGGAGATATTATCATTATTGTTACTGTTGCTATTTTTCTTCTTTTTATGGTGTAGCCATATCTATATTTGCACCTCTGATGAAGAAAACCAGATGACTAAAAAAGAAAATTACTCATTTTATCTCAGACCTCTTATAACTCTTGCCTCTTTTTTCAGACACCCTTGCCAGAAAAGTCCCCAAGGCAAAGAATGGCAAAGTAATAATTCCCGGATGCTCTATAGATGCATCTGTTCCACCTCCAGCAGTTGCAACCTTCTGAGTTCACCACATGTCCCAAGGCTAGGGTTTCTGGAATACCTTGTGGGCTGCACTGGACCCCATGTCCGTTCATGCTTCTTGACATTGAGCACAAGTGCTTACTCTTTGTAAGGATTAAGAGGCCACTTCTTCCTTAAAACTAAACAAGAGGTACAAAGGGACTGTCCTCTAAAGTGAGGGATACACAGCTCCTTGTGCAGCGCTCCGAGTGCAAAAGGTCACTTATGGATGCTGTTGCCTGGCTGGAACTGATGAGCACGTTTGATGAGGACAATTAAAAGCAGGTGGGAACGCCACCCTGCAGGAAGTCAGAAAAGAGGATAGCAGGCGTTCCAGTCAGGGAGCTGGTCCCAGCATGGCAGGAAGGCTACAGCGATTAACAGAATGTGGATGCGTTTCCTGAATAAATGCTTATGTCTGAGATTTAGAATGACCTGGGTTTTGTTTTTGTTTTTGCTTTTTGAGGAGTTGAACACTTATGAATGGCACAGCAGAGAAGGTTGGGATTGCCTAAATAAACTCATTCTGAGAAGCAGGAATCAGTTTCTCATCATCACTTACCTCTTCCCTTTATCTGCTTTTCTCCCCATCCCACACCCCCAAGCCGTTTGCAATAGTAACAGTAATTTTGAAAGGCACATAGATCAATAGTCACACTCGTCTGCTCTGAGCCTTTTGAGGGCACTCAATTATCATCCCAGAACTAATGAAGTGATTCCAGGTGCTAGATGTGGCTTCTTAATTACCAAGCCATTTAGTTGCAAAACCTGCTTCTTCTACAGAGAACCTGCTGAGGTCAGTCACATCTCTCATTACCGCCCTCTGAACTATGCCTGTCTTGAGTGCTTCATAATCAAGTGGCTTCTTCAGGAATAGCAGTGATCAAAGACCTTCTAATCCTTGTGCTACCATTGAAGTTTGCACTTACTACATAGCCATTTGCTCTATGACCACTTGATAAATATTTGTTGATGATAATGATAAGGCAAAAATACAAATCTCTTAAGAGGTCTGCAGGGCTGAACAGGGCGAGAGGGAAAACTTGTGGAAAAGGTAGTTCAACCCGAGTTACCCAAAGTCACCGCTTGGCAGAGTGTCTGTAGCTTAGTCATCCTTCCCAAAGTGAAGGGCTTGGAGAAGCAGGGAAAATATGGAGACCATGTGTGCTGTTCAAACCAAAGACCGATCACCATCCAAATGGACACATGTTTCTTCCATTGACTAGTTTAATTTTTTCCAAATGTTCTCATAAGTGAAAGTGAAGATGGGTGGCATGATTGCATGAAGCTGTGAAACTTTAGAGGGTTTTCTCTTGCAGGCTGGCCATAGGCCATTACGAAACCCAGAAATCTACAGTGGCCTTAGTGCCACACTGTCTTTAAAGTTCAGCACTTAGACCCCTTCTCCCTTAAAAGTTTCAGACAAATCTAGTGCTTTATTGAACTCAGAATATTGTTCTCTTTGAGAATGTGAAAATTTTAAATAGCCAAAGAATTTCCACACGTAAGAGCTCGCTAATTACGGTATATCCCTCTGTTTGGAAGAAAATACCAAACAGTTGCCTGTACTGATAGAAGTTAGAGCAGTTGAAGAAAGACTAACACGTGGACTTTTCAGCCTGATGTGTGTTGGCAGAGACGATACTTACAGTTCTGTGGGTGTTATTGCAAGGGGCAGGGTGCCCTCTGCTGGAATAATCTCCATTATCCTTTCAGCAAGTTAATTTAACTTGGGTCACCATTTCCTTAACAGTTAGTTAATTTGCCTTTCATCGTACAATTTCCTCAGTTGAGAATTTGGTCCGTGTTTATAGAAAGAGGAAAATATGTCACAGGCTCTGGAAAGTTGAATGGGGTACCCAGAGATTTTCTCACGGTCAGCAGCCCCTTCTTCTGCAAAATGTTGAGCTGTATTACTCTGTTTTCAAGGAAGATGCATCTGTCTGGAATGCTTGTACAGAGTTACAAGGCAAGGGCCTGATTTTTTTGTAATTTATCTCAACTTTATTCTTGTGAAATTGCAAAGGAAGGTCAATAAACAGATTTCTTTCATATGAATGTAAATGGTGTGAAATACTGATGTGTTTTGTACATGTACATAATAATATATTTACTTCCTGCTTTCACATTACTAATCTGAGATGGTTGTACCGTTTTATAATTAGAGATGTAGGGGTGGGGGAGGGTGGTTATTTTTATAGTGGGGCGTCCCTTATATTTAGGAAACTTGAAATAATTTTGTACTTGTGAAAAGTTACATTCCATCCATTTCCTGAAAAAAATAGGTGTTCTTTAAAATGTTTATGAGCTGGGAGATGATTATTCTGCTATCTAAGGGAAACTCCCAGGCATTATATATGTGACACCCAATTTTGTAGATTCAAACAATTACCAGCAATTGCCACTTTTAAAATGTAAAAAAAAAAAAAAATTACTATACCTATTTTAACCCCTTTGTATAGCACATTATTTCTCACAGAAGAATCATCTACTGCAAAGAAGTAGTTCACAAGGTGTCATCAACTGGTGTTTAATACCACCCTACTAGCGAAAGGAAAAGCCAATGGATTTATTTTTCTTCCTAACCACAAATGGTGTGCTTTCGTTGTAAAATGAATGGTGTGGCAGGAAGAATTTTAGTTCGCTTCTCCACAGGGTCTTTCTGGCCAGTTCTACAGATCATACATTTGGTGGTCCCATCCCAGCCATTACCTGTCTTCTCCATATCCAGCTCATGAGACTAAGCTTCCTTGATTTATTTGCCACATGGCTCAAAAATCACGAACATTACCCCTGATGGCATTTGCATGGGTAGTTTTTAATTTGAACTGGTTAGCTCTCAGTTACCAAAATAACATGGTAGTTGATTATGTAACCATTTTACCCAAACGTCATTTTCTGTGCGAAGCCACTGGCATATTTAAATAATTAGTTAAAATGGTATACGGTTTGTTTTGTTTTGTTTCTGTGTAAATCTCAATCTCATTTTTGTCCACCTCAGACACCTACCCTACTCCTTCCAAAACACTTTATTTCTCATGAAATACACAGAAATAAAAAAAAAAAAAAAAAAAACTGTCCTTAAAGGGGTTTTTCTTCTATTATGAGATACAGACTTTTATTTTGCTTTTTCTATTCCCTATGTGGTTGGAAAGCATAAACAGATTGTTTCATAATGGGCCCGTGATGAAATACTAAGGATGATCATTGGAAACATTCAGTCGTACAATGTGGCTATTTTTGTTATCTAGAAGATTACAATGTAAATAAGTGCAATCGTGTTATTATGTACTGGTAAAAAAATAAATATATATTGCAACTATAAAACTTTTAAGACAAGGATTGTGAATTCCAGGAAATTTCATTGCAAAAGTTTGTTTGGCTTTGTTTTTTTAATAAAATGGAGTCAGATGCTGCTGTGTCTGTATCACCCATCTTTCCTGACCCAGCTGCCTAGCCCTGAGTTCCAGAGGTGGGGCATGGATTTGGGAACACCTATATTTATAGCTGAATTGTGATCATGTTAAAAGACAGAGCAATTTTAATAACTTCTTTATTTCCCTCAAGTAAATCAAGTGCCAGGTGGGAGGCCTCTTCTTAGCTCTGTTTTTGTGACTGAATTGATTAAAAACTTTTGAGCAATTCAGTTTCAAATGAATACTAAATTCCCTCCAGGAGCCTTTAGTTGAGGACTGAGCACCATTGTATGTGCCTGCCAGGTGGGCCTGACCAAAACCAAACCCAAACCCATCACCATCGAGTCAATTCCAACTCATAGCAACCCAATCGGACAGAATAGAACTGGTCCATAGGGTTTCCAAGGAGCGGCTGGTAGATTCGAACTGCCCACCTTTTGGAGAGCAGCCGAGCTCTTAACCACTGCACCACCAGGGCTCCCCAGGTAGGGCAACCAGGTCTTTTTTATATGTACTCGGACATTTCTAAAGAATTGAGCCTAACCTGAGCTGTAAACGTTCACTTAAGCACAATAAAAATTTTAAAAATTAGCATTCCTAAAGAATTGCTAAAGAATTTTCAAGGGAAAGCTAAGGAAATAGAAAAGAATTGGAATGTGGAAACAGAAGTTAGGGAAGGGGGAGGCCCTATTCATTGCTATCACCTCCTATGAAACAGGCAGACTCCTTGGTGTGGCTTATAACCCAGTGTTCAGCCAGCCAAGATTCCTGGAGACGTCCCTGGAGGAGCAGGCACGGCTGTGCATGCCCAGTGCATTTCAGCCTATGACTAGACACTTACACCCTGCCAGGTACTGCTCAAGGAGCTAGGGTTTCCACAGAACCCACTGGCAAAAAGTCAACGTGTATTGAGCACTGTGGTCTCCTCCAGCTCTTTCCTATCTGAATCAACTACTGTATAGATAACAGAAAACATTAATGCCCTGGACGCTTAGCTCTGGGGGCCAGTCCATGCTTAATTTGTAACCAACCCGTTACCGTTGAGTCAACTCTGACTCATGGCGACCCCGTGTGTGTCAAAGTAGACCTGTGCTTCACAGGGTTTTCAATGGCTAACGTTTTGGAAATAGGTCAACCAGTCCTTTATTTCGAAGCGTCTGGGTTGCTAGGAAGGAAGATATTCAAAGGGGGTTTTATTAACAATGATTGTGCCATGTGATAAAGTACTTTGTTTATTCTTCCATTATTTCACTTTGTATCTGCCCAGAAACCTATTGTCAGCAAGGAAGCGGACACCTGGGAATATTAAGCTCTTACTCAGGACCTAGAAACCATCCCTCCTGACTAACAACCTCTACAGTCTCTCCATTAGGCCAGTGGTTCCCAAACTGGGAAATGTATTCTGTGGGACATATTCTGGGACATGCTAGAAATTATAGCACAGAGTCCCAAGGGCAACTAGGTTGGGACAAGTCTTCACACAATGTATATTAGCTATTAAAAGCTTTTGAGAAGGTCTTCATTAAAGTCATCTGTTCAACTTTGTATAACTCAGCTTGTCCTGAACCTGATTGATGATAGAATCCTCTTTTTCAAGTATCATAGTTTTCAACACTGCCCTGAAATGGATCACTTATGTGGAACATATTGGTATTCGGACCAGCAAGAAGTTGCTAGACTATTTCCCACCTCTATGTCTCATGTGACCCACAGACTCTGGCCTCTCTTGTTCCACGTTCCCAGTTTATTAGATAAAGGACAAGCCATGCAAGATTGGCACAGCCAGCCTGGCACCTGCTTCACCTTGAGTGGAAATGTCCCAGGAAATAGGTCACTGGGCACGGCTCAGTCACATGCCCAGGCAGCACTGGGCGGCTGCTTGGCTTAGGTCAGACTTTTCCCAGGGAAGTAGAGGCCCTATAGGCCCTGGAAACTCAACTCTGTGCGCTTTTGTTGGGAGAAGTCATTCAACATACTTGTCCCTTTGAGAATGGAAAATTAAAAACTCCCCAGAGCTTTGTAAAAAGCCAGCTAGGCCAGCTTTTCCACTTGATTTTTACAACTCTGTTCACACTTACATTTAGGGTACTCCCAACTAAACCACTGACAACTTCCTAGGTGGTGCAAACAGTTAAGCATTTGACTACTAACTGAAAGGTTGGCTGGTGGGACCCACCCAGAGACACCAGGAAGACAGGCTTGGTTATCTGCTTCTGAAAGGTCACAGCCTATGGAGCAGTTCTACTCTGCACACGTGGGGTGCAGAGTTGGAATCAACCTGATGGCAACTAACATCAACAATAAGTTAAACCACTACCCTATTCAAAAAGCTCAAAAATGTCTTCAGTCTGAGTCTACTAATTCCTTTTGAACCAATGTTTGTATTACAGGCAGTCCTCAGGTTATAAGTGTCCGACTTTTGGACAACTTGTACTTAAGAACGGACTACCATAAAACCAAATAAAACCCATTGCCGTCAAGTCAATTCCAACTCATAGCGACCCTATAGGACAGAATAGAACTGCCCCATAGAGTTTCCAAGGAGCGGCTGGTGGATTCATACTGCAGACCTTTTGGTTAGCAGCCAAGCTCTTCACTGCACCATCAGGCCTCTAGCCATAAATCCTATTATATTAAAAATTTGAGTTAAATATATACAATGGTTCTTAAAAGTGAATGCATGCACTACTTTGTGACACTCATGAACATTGCACAGTTTGGAAATGTTTCTTAGTGTTTTATATGCATAGAAAGGTAAAATATATGCTATATACTAAGACAAACATTTAGCTAACTGCTAAATAAGAACCATATGTACCTGTTGCGACTTACCTACAAATTCGACTTGAAGAGATTTAGGAACAGATCTCATTGGTAACCCGGGGACTGCCTGCACTATTCATTTTTTTCCTGGGTTGAGTAATGCTTTGTACCAGATTGGAAGTGGGGAGGAAAAGGTGAATTATTTATGCTCTACGTGATCATTACTGTCCGTGGAAGAGTCAGAATGCCAACCAATGAGAAATTCAGGTGGATTGAGAAAGGTTTCATATTTGTGAGACTTTTTGGAATAATAGGTCCATCTCCCATAGTGACCCAAGAACAGAAATTATTTTCTCTCTTACTTCATCACACTCATTTGTATCGAGTCTCCCTTCAGTCTCACTGTGACTCTTTGTTCTTGGCTGTGAGAAGGAAAAGGGAGAGTGACCTTCCTGCTATATCATCAGAGACCAGGGAGCCTTCTGCTCACTGTGATTAGATCTCCCTGCGCCGATTTCCAGTCGCTGGGCCAAAACCCAGATGTGGGATACAGCCCCACATCTCCAGCCACTGGAAGCCTGGCTCTGCTGGCCCACTGGGAGATATAAATGAAACTCCCCAGCCCACTGAGACCTTTCTATCATGAAAGACATTCCCTACCCTCTCCCTGGGGAGACATCAGAAGTTCTGATCATTGTCACGACCCCTAACCTAATCACTCCCTCCGTGCCTCCCTCTGGCATTCCTACCTTCTTCATACTTAACAATCATTTACTAAATAGTCAAGGGAGAAGCCAGAGCCAGTTTTCATTGGCAGGCAACTGCCCTTGGTTGCTATGAGAACTGTATACACAACACAGCTGTCATTGATATTATAGATCTAGTAGGAGCCAAGGGTCTCAAATCTCTATGAGAAAAACAAACCAACAAACAACAACACCAAAAAAAAAAAAA